CATGGGTCCCAAAACTCAACTATTTCCGAAAAAAAAATTATCAAAATCTCCAACTTGATATACAAAAGTTCGATTAATTAAGGAATATTTACATAACTGCGTGCATAGAATACTATAACATACAATGTTTATCACTTTTTAAATTTCTTTATGCCAAATTCTAAAAAATAATTAAAAACTGGAAAGCAATTGTCTTGAAATTTACTAAATGTTTCACAATAACAGTTGTTTACATTTTTTCCATAGGACAAGTATTTCGTTTGTTGGTCGCTATTTATTTCACTCTTTTTTTTAAAGCCACTTCTTAAGATATTATCAGTGAAATTTGGTTATAACAAGGAACATTTTTGAAGATTCGAAACGTTTAATGGAAGCATCCACCTAACATGATCTAAATGATCATGATGATTCCATCAAAGGAAGCTACCCTTGCAATAGACATGGCCCAATAGTCTCCACTTCCTAAGCCTTGGACCAGATGTATCAAATTTTATGTCTCTCTCCCATTTTCCCTTGACTTGGCCAACAATAACGAATCTTTTATAACATATCGATCATTAATGCAACACTACCCATTTCTAGTGCAAAAACACCCTCCTTATCTGCTTCACGATCAATCAAACCACCCGACGTGTATACCCGGAGTCCACAGGGCCATTATGTTAATAGGGCAGCAACAATGCAAGCTATCAAGTCCGCTTCCTTTCTGGGGCACGTCTGCGAGCCGACGCCGTTCAGAATGACTTCATTACTGCATTAGGAGGACAGCGAAGGCCGGCTCGACCTTAGGACGGTAATCTATCAAACCCGTAATTGTCATCTCGGTGGAAATTGATGAGGTGTGTGATCGGAGCGAGACGCGAGGGCACGTGTTGGCTTCGTTGGGCGTCCGTCGCCCACCATGCACCGAGAACGCCGGTGAAAAATCGTCTCCGTATTTAGAGAAATCCATTGTCATCCCATTTATAGTGTCAAGGTATAGTGTTAGAACATAAACACCGAAATGTAAACCTGTTAATTACGAGAAAAATGCTTCTGGGAAAGATTATGAGACTAATTCATGGAAGAATATAAGAAGAACGATAATCTAATCCAAAGACAATAGATGAAAAGATCATTCTGACGGGTTCTGGGATTTAATGTCTTTAAGTCAAAAGCCAGACTCACTCTAGATGAGAAAACTCTGAAACGATTCTAATCTAAAGGTAATTGAATGCATTTTAAGACTTTAAAACACTTTAATCCAAAGATAATCAATAAAAAGATACAAAACAAAACATATTAACAATCTTGAAGTTCCCTAATTCAAACAAAATTCGCAAATAGGTTTTCGTGTAGGGTTCTGAGAATTTAAAATGTCTTTAATTCAAAAGCTATTTACGAAAGAGCCATTATGGAGGATCTTAAAACATTGAGAAACTTCTACTCCGAAGGTAATTGAAGAAGTGATAATTACAAAGTCTATTAAGGTTCTTGAATCCAAACACAATCTGCAAGTCATTGTGATGGGTCTCGATACTCTAAAATGCATCGAACTCAAGAGTAATCCTTTAAATAATCATTGCGGAAATTTTTAAGGCTTGTAAAAGGTTCTAATCTAAAGGCAATTGATAAAAAGATAGCTGCAAATTGTTTTAAGATAGTTCACGAAATTATGAAGGGTTTTCAGATTTTTCAAAAGGATATAATCCAAAAGCAATTCACAGAAGAAGTATTTTGGGAGTTAATTCGAAAGATAATTTCATAATTTAGTTACCTTTTTTTATTGGTAAAAAGGTGATGAAAACAACAGTTCAAAACATTCAAAGATTTACTGGGAAGAGATTTAGATCCATAGAGATTGCTGTAAAAACGTCTAAACCAAACTCAATCTGATATCTGACGAGGATATGATCTAAGTAAATCAAGTGGAAACAAAACTTTTATCAAAGTTTTGTAAAGAATAGAATTAAACTAAAGTATCTGCATTAAATTAAGCCATACTGAGCTTTGAAGCACTAGAGTTATCGGTATATTTGACACAAATTGCTTAATTTTGTTTGGTTCTTTGTTAATGAGAATTCAAAATTCACTTTTGACTGTAGATTTTAAACGGAAATATTGTCTTCAATAGGAACGTTTAATCTAGATAAGACCACAGCAAATTCAAATAAAACTTACGAGAAAAATGTGAAAGTTACTTTTGGAAGTGATTTTAGGTTTCCTAAAAGTTTAAAAATGCCGTACAAACGTCTATTATGGCCTTATTAAGGATGTGCACTTATTTCACTTGCACAAGTATCTTACAACTAGTAATATTTCTTGAGACTCGTAAGACCTCCAATGTGTTTGGGTTACAAATGGAAAACAATGCAGAGGTTCTAAAAACATCTCCAAATTAGTTCCGTATCAGATCTAGACCGATATGGAGCTATTTGGACCCTTTGGTAAGACAAGTCAGAATAATGTGACCCTAGCTTGGATACTACGCCATAACAATAATCAGGAGCAACAAGAAAGCTGAATTACCCACAACAGGCTCATCTATAGCTCTACAAAGAGCCTGAACACTCCTACGGATATTCTAGATGTTATACTAGTAACTAGCTCATGTAGGAATGGCTGAAGAAAAATAAATGTCCAAAAATTGTGGTAATGAAACATTTGAGCAGAAGAGAGACAAGAAATTCTTAAAAAGTCAATTGAATGATTTGATGGCACACCTCACCATTGTTGTTACTAAGAGTAAGAATTAAAATATCACGAGTTTGTGGAGTGAATATTCAATGATTAAATCAACTATTTTCATAGAGGAGAACGTGGATATATTAAAATACCCCAAGCTGAGAGCATTTTGGAAACGTAAGAATGACGGCTATACACCTAAAAAGTCAAAGGTTTCTATGAGGAAACAAGTCAACGATTTTCTCGTTCAGGCACCCGATAACATATTTGCTCATGAAGGTAATGACGGTCTTAGGCCGCCAGGATCAAGAAACGAAGACAACGACACACACACACACACACATACACACTCCCCATACCCTCCTTACCCCTCCCCTCCCGCGCTAGCCTAAGGGCCACCTTAGCAAAGCGCATCCCAGGCTGCATAGCCGCACTACCCTACCCAACCATACCACACATAAACATGACACCACCCCCGGAGTTTACACAGACGAGCCGGCGAAGCAAAAAGAGCGCCAGAAGAAAGGGCCCTAGCCGGCGGGGCCCAGCCAGGACAAAAGGAGGTCCCACAAAGCGCCTACACCGGGGTAGACGACGGATGGGGCCCACCTACGAAGGCTGTCCAGACCTACACGAGATGAGGCAGGATAAAGAGGGATAATCCCCCTCGATCCCAAATCATTGAGGCCAATTTCTAGCCATGGAATAATGGCGCGCGGTCTTAGGCATTGCAAGAGCATGCCGTTCTGATGAGTTATACAAACTTACTTTGGACGTCAATTTAAAAAATTTCGAACAAATTATTGTAGTTACAATTCCATTCTCACCTAGAAATTCTCAAGAAATATATCAAGATCAGATTGGAAATTAAAATTTCACACGTTTTTATGCGCTATCAAGCAGGTAGATGTTAGAACCAACCAGTCGGCAAGAATATCCTTTCTATGATTCCTAATAAGATTGCACAGTTTTTGAAACAAGGACATCCTGAAACATATGCAGGCCATTCATTCCGAAGAACATCGACAACGTTCCTGGCTAATACAGGAGTTGATGTATGAGCAATCAAGAGCAATAAGAAAGCTGAATTACCGACAACAGGCTCATCTACAGCTCTACAAAGTCCCGAACTCTCCTACGGATATTCTAGATGTGTTACTAATTACTAGCCGAGGAAAAATAAATGTCCAAAAATAGTGGCAAGGAAACATTTGGGCAGAAGCAAGACAAGAAATTCTTAAAAAGATAATTGAAGGATTTGATGGCACATCACACCATTGTTGTTACTGTTACTAAGAGTAGGAATTAAAATATCACGTAAAAAATTGAGTGTTGATGATGTAGAAAATATCTTGATAATATGTTGATAGTGAAAAAACTTGATGGCAGATAAATTAATTTTTTTCTCGTTTCCATTACATTCCTCAACTAAAAAAACTTCTACCAAATAAATTAGAGACATGGATTTTTCTGTACAATTTTTTTTTTAAGTTTCGGTTCTAAAGTCTCAAGCGCCGTTATTCTTTAAATACGAGTAAAACTTTTTTCAAACAGCCCGCTATGGACGCGTACCTCGTCATTACAGCATCAAAGATTTTTGTCAGCGCCGCCGAGATCCAATTAACGGAGGCCCCGCCCCCGCAATAAATCTGCCTCGAATTTTAATTTCAAGACTGGAATGGCGGTAATTTCTTTAATTTTTTCCGACATACCTCCGTCGCAATTGGATCCATGGTTTAAATTGCATTTTTGTTGTGGGGCGCAATTTCGCATTTATTTCTTCCAGGGCCGTGATCACGGCCAGATAAAATTCCTGACTGATACGGGTTGATATCTCACATCAAGGAGAGACAGCAAAGACAAAGAGGCGAATAATTCACGTTTCTGTGTTACTTTTCCATTGAAAATGAATAAAATTGTAATTATAACAAAATAAAAACATCTATAAATCTGTTTTGAAATGAAATTGAGTAATAAATCTATTTTAAATCAGTTTTAAGCGTACGATTAGCTTTCTTAACCCTCAAAGGTCACACTAGTGCGAATTCGCACCACCATTTCTTTTAAACAGCTGGCATTCCTCAGGTAGCAGCTGCCGAGTGTTATTGTCAATCAAACTAGATAGTCTGAAAAGTCCAACCGGTGCGAATTCGCACTAGTGTGACTTTAATGTGGGCAAAAGTGTGGCTGAATGTATTTATCAATATTTTTGCATAATATCGTTATCTTGTTTTACGCAATGTTCTCTCTGTAATCCCGAAATGGCCAATTATATACTGGCATAATGACGTTTTATACGCGATATATTACCACCACACAACACAAAGCCTTCTTACCTGGTAAGCGTCTGGTATATTGACCGGTTCGCCGCTCTCCGCGACGTACCCGACGATGCCCGTGCCCCAGGGGATCCGGATCTCGTCCTTCTTTTCCATCTCCATCAGCGTGCTCTTGGAGCAGACGTCGAAGAGCTTGGAGACTAGGCAGCGCCCCCTGGGGGCTTGGCCGGGAGGCAGAGGGGTGCATCCGCCACCCCTCTCGCCTTGGACTAGGAACAGTGAGCCTCTGTCGGCGTGCAGGAGCAGGCAGACGTTCTGGAGGATCTTGTGGCAGAGGGAGCGCACCTCGAGCTCGTTGCAGATGTCCTTCACCTGAAACGAAAGAAAAATATACTGCTGACTGCGTAAAAAATAACAGCTAAGATAAACATGGCGTCAAAGTGCACAATGTGAATAATTTTGCGGGAGATAAGGGCAATTTTATCGCCTGCGGGTGTTAAGTGTAACTTTATCGCTCAAGGGCGTTAATTGGAACTTTATCGCCCGCAGGAGTTAAGTGGAACTTTATCGCCCGCAGGCGTTAAGTGCAACTTTATCGCTCGCCAGCGTTAAGTACGACTTTATCGCTCGCGGGCGTTAATTGCAACTTTATCGCTCAAGGGCGATAAAGTGACTTTGTGACTGTCTTTATTTCTGTGCAACTTGTTAACGACAACAGTTTAAAATTTGAAAGTCTAATTTTGTAAATGACTACAAAATTTTATATGAATTAAGGGCATAATAGGAACTTTACATTCTTGATAGATACGTATAAAAATATATAATTATTGTCTACGACCAAGCGTTCAACTGTACCTACTTTATGAACAAATTTTGTGGGAATTAAGTACAACTTTATCGCCAGCGGCTACTATACATCCATCGAGCGATAAAGTTACTTATGGTAACGACTTCCTTAATTTGAGACATTGTACGTATCGGAGCGTAATACGTAGCGTGTATGGCTTTGCTGCTATCTTAATATATACATAAAGCGTTAAAGTATACTTTAACCGACGTTAAGTACAACTTTATCGCCCACAAGCTTCTATAAACGATAAAGTCCTATTAAAAGTGTATAATTTAATTATTAGGTTTAAGTGCTAAAAAATATGCGCAATTTTGAATAATATTTTATATTAGTGCATATACAATATTTATTTGTATGTTGATTATTTTTAATTTGATATAACGAGATGTAGATGTTAACATCGCTTTTGAAATTCTGCTCTGTTCATTTTCTCTATGCCGACGCATTAATAAAGGGCGGATGCAAATAACTTTCACAAGTTTGACAACGATTTTATCAGGGACTCCCTGTTGCGATAACGGCGCATACTTTAGGGTCGTATCGGCCCTAAGGGCGGGCCATTATCCCAAATTCTGTTGTGGTATCGGCAGATATGTCACATACGGTCGCCGAGATTCGGGTGAAGGCCGGAAGTAAGCCTTTAGAAATGAGATTTTTGTCTATTGTGCTAAATTTTAAATAAATATGTGACCAAAATGGGGTCATGAGCTTAACAAAAAATAGACGTGGGACATAATGTGTGGTAAGGATTTATATAGGGTGTTTCCAGGATTTTCAAGCAGATTTAAAAAAAAATCAGTTTGCAAAGCTATAACCTCTATATCAGTTTCCATTCTTCAATCATCACCAGTACCAAATAGGGAATATTTTTATTTGATTTTTGAAAAAATGCTTCTAATAATTTTTGGTTTGTATTTTTAAAAAATATGAGTTATTATTAAAATACATATGTATTTCTAAAAAAACAAATTCAGTTTTGTTTGTCTAAATACCAAGGGCAATTTTTATACAGAAGATGTTTGTTTTAGGTGACAATGATATTATTTTGAAAAAGCTTAAATACAAAAATTATGAAATTTTTAACAAAATTCTAATAGCGTTAATTAATAAGTAATATTACACAAAATCAGTAAATATTATTTGATTGGTCAAATTCTTAAGAACCTTATTATGGGAGCTATTTTGATGAAGTCGTATTTTAATTAAAAAAATATGTAAGAAGCTGAAGTATAAATTAAAAACATCACGATAAAAAATATAAAAAACTGTAATTTTTCGATTTCTTTTAATATTAACTACATATTTCGATATGGATATTTAAATTTGTTAAAATAAACAAATTCGATTAGATTTTGGTCAATAAATCCCCATATTCTTGGCAAAATTGACCTGTATATTTAGATTGTGCTTATTTAATACAATACAAGCAAACATAATTAAAAAACATTTTTTTCTAAAATATGGAAGAGATTCCCATTTGATGACAACATTTAAGCAGTCGTTACACTTATATACCGGGTGAACCAAATTTAATTATTAATACAGGGATCTTAGGAATTAGTAGAGATACTGAAAAAGTTATTTTACTGGCGTACTTAGTTTCTTTTTGCACCTTTTGGATAAAGACCGATTGCAATTGGAATATGAAAAAAATCACGAAAATGTGAGAAATTCCCTGATATTTTCCTGACTTTTCCAGACCTAATAACTCCAGCTTTTTTGATTTTGTAATTGATATACGATATATTATCCATAGCCTGTTTTACTGAGGAATACCCACCAATGCTTCATTTTTAGGTGTTGAAATTAGAAAAAAAAATATTTTCTAAATTTTCGTTTTGTCTAGAATAATAAATAATAATAATAAGAAACTTGGAATCATGAACCGGGCGCAAATACGTGAATCAGTGGCAAACATTCCAAGGTCATTATCGCTAGAAACCCCAAATATTAGACGCCACTGAATAATTCGATGCTGCTGCTTTAAGCAATATTTCTAAAAAATCTCTACCTGTTCGCAGAATTTTCTGATCTTTTCGGAAAGGGAACATGCCCTTTTGTGAGCCACTACATTTTACAAACACTGCTCGATAAGATTAATTTTTGACTAATGATATCGTGGGAAACAACTACTCTGCGGACTAAAGCCCCGACCAGCATTGAATTACAACCGCAATATATAGTAAAGATAAAACATCTAGTGGTAAGTGATTAGTCAATGTAAGGCTACGCTTTATTCATCCGAGTGTTTTTTTAAGACCGTTTCCGACTATTTGCGTTGCTTTACGGGGAAGGCTACAATGGGAGCGTGGTGGGCGGTTCCGAGAAGTGCGTGGCGTACAGGAAACGCGCCGCCCGACCTAATTAAACAGAGAGACGAGACAAGAAAGGCCTCCCGTTTACATACCGTTCACCGAGACGCTTATTTGTTTTTCTTCCGTCCAATTTCTGGGACGACACCAAAACGCGCGGTCCGCTAAGTGCCGGCTTCGATTCGCAATTTGGCAGGGGATAAGAGCCACAATTAGACGGAATTGGTATTTTTAGCGCGACCGCTCAAAAAGTGTCATACGAGGGCGCTTCAGATATAATCTCGATATAATAAAGTATCGGCGAGTAGAGATGTCTTATATACTTAAAAGCAGCACATATAAAAATGTATTTAATCCACTCCCTCACAGAAAAATCAAAATTTGTTTTCAATAAAACCATTTTTTAACTAGCAATGTGGGAGACAACTACTCTGCGGACTAACGCTCCGATCAGCACTGAATCACACCTGCAATATCTAGTAATTGTAGTAATGCCATAAGACAAATAAACACATGTTATAAAAATATGTGTATATGATAATAAAATTACGACAAAAAAAACAACAAAAATACAAATTAAGTTAAACAAAATTACGGTTTTCGATTAGTAAACATTAACAATGAGCAAAATAATATGAGTACCTATACATAATTTATGAAATAACAATAAAAAAGAACAAAACACAAACAATTAACAATTATGTTAAAAAAAATATAAAAATACCAATGAATAAGTAACAGCAAGTGAATTTAAATGTTTACAAACAAAAACTAGAATGAAAAAACAAACAGAAAATCTCAATTATAAGAGCAGAAAAATCTTTTAATGTATGCCAGAGAATTGCATACGTCCGGCATATCCTAATGTTAATATAATTAACAAGCATTTGATGGAGAGATCATTGCAAAATATTTGTGCGAAAAGAAGAAATAACAAAGAAATTACTAGCCAAATAACAATAATAGATAATAAATGAAATGAAAATCTTTGGGCTTTTTCTAATTGATATAATTATAATAAAGAGACTAAACCACAGAGACACACTTCAGCTTGGGGCTCTACCAGAACTCATATAGTCTTTCCGAAGTCAGCTGAACAAGCAAAAAAAACGTCAGGTAATAAAATTTAATGAGTTTCATAGGCGTCCCTAAATAAATTTTCTGCTAAAGGTAAAAAATTAAAATAATTTGTATATAATGTGTAGAAAATTTCTATTGTATGTTCATTTGGCCAACAACATATTTTAATTATTTATGTTCTCAAACAATGTTACTATATTGGTGGTAAATTTCGTTTTGTTCCGTTTCAAAAGGTCTCCAAAATGCCATGTTGTGATTATATTAGTAAACAAAATATCCCTCTTATTTCTCCCTTTCGCAATTGTAATATGAATGATCGATAGAAGGTGCCTATAATAAATTAAAATTACCTGAATCACACCAAATTCCGCATTGCTGCACTGCACTGTGGGCAATTTTTCAACCACTTGTCGTCTGCTGTGATTTATTGCCCAGTAGCCCAATGCAACTGTAATCGTTTTCTTTTGCCCGCGCTCGCATTCTTCAACTGAGCATATACATTTCTATCGCCTTAACGTTTAGTTCGACCAGACTTGTATATGGGTATGGCTAAATAAATATGGGAACAAGTTTTTCAAATATTTCAATGCCGAGTTGCTGCGTCAGCGACCGAACCTGGTACATACTATCAATATGTTGGCTCTTCAATTGATATCGGAAAAACTATACCTAAGGTTGATACGTATAGTGGAAATATACGCTAGATAACACCAAAATTTTTATATGCCACTGCGATGCGTTTAGCAAGGAGTGGACATTAAAATTATTCGCGATCTAATTAATAAAAATAATAAAAAAGGCCGCAGAGTAGATGTTTTCCACAATATCATTATTTAAAAACTTTCATATTCGTTTACAAAGGTAGCAAAAATGATTTCTATTTTTATTTATTGCAGAATGGGCTCATTAAGTAAAATTTCACTTATAACTTCTTTTTACATTTTCCGTAACCCCCTAAATATAGGTGAAAAAATCAGCTCCATAGCGTTAATTATGTCTAATTCGCAAAATATTTGCAACGGTCTATGCTGTTCGTAGAGCAAATGTAACGTCACACCACTCCATTGGCTCTATTAATAACTATTATCCCAAGTTATTTATTTGTGGTACAATTTTAGCAGTTTACTCTGTTTATTGAACATGCACTATATTCATGGTGATTTAGGTTAAGTATATTTGTATACATATTTACTGTTTTTTTTCTTTTTTTTGTATTATGTTATTTAGTTGGGTGGTGTATACAAGATAAATAAAAAAATAAATAAATAAAATAAAGATATATCCCCAGCAATATAATATACTCGTATTGACTAAAGGAACTCTTGCGTCAAGGGTTATTTTTATTAAACCTCTTTTGCCTAACCAAATCCTCATACCAAAAAAGCATATAAGAAAAAAATACAATATTTACATCACCGACTTCAGTTGAAGACTGGTGCAACAAGGAGATAAGTCCATTTTTTTAAATAAGATTTCTGCAGATACAGGTTTTAAAATGTACTCTTTCCGTTAGGTGCAAATGTCGAATCTGCTGACTTAATACAAACCTACCTAGAAGATCAAATCACCTTATCCCGTGCTAAACATTGGTGCAAGAATGGAAAAACTTTTGTCATTTATTTCCTTTTTGAGTCACATGTGCGTTTTTGCTTTGTGTTTTTTTCGCTTGGTAAGTGTTCTGATATTCGTCTATTTTAAATATTATTATTTTTTAAGTAATATAGATATGTATCTAATAATTACAGAGCCAACTCACCAGCTCAAAAATGAGATCCTTCTCGTCCAGCTGCCTCAGTTCGTGCCTGGACCGCCTCTGCCTCCTGCCGGGGGTTGGACTGCCGGTGCTGCCGGGCGTCTGATTTTCGCTGGTCAGGAAAGTCGGCTGCCCGTCGATGGTGCTGATCATGGGCTTCAAGAGGCCGCCGCGCTCGAACTCGTGCGCCGAGATTTTGCGAACGGGCGTCGTGGCGCCCGAGCCGGCCCTGGACTGGTTGTGGGTGGGGGATGCCAGCTCAACGCTGGAGGAGGTAGGGGTGGTATGCGACACCAGCCACGAGTCCACCACTTGCCTGGGGGCTTTCCTGAAACAGATATTGCCGTTTAGTGGAATTTATATAACGAAATTTCACTTGCGAGGGGATCCCGCCGTGCTGCAGGTTTCAGGGACGTACTCTACTAAATGGTAACGGTAATAATAAAATTAATTTAGGCAAACGAATGTATAAAATGTTGTTTGATTGATTGATTGATTACTTTCATTTATAGGTAGGTATAAGGATATAATTTTTACAATATGACATTAGATTAGCAACAAAGGCAAGTCTTAAATAAAAGTTGTAATTTTATTCAACCAAAATTATAAGAATGAATAATAGACCAGGGCGGATCTGTCAAAATATCCCACTTCTTGGATATAAGAGGGGGCAAGCTAATTTTTGCTGGAATACCTTAAGTACAACTCACATAATAAAAGTGTAGACCCCTAGATCTGGGCGAGGTCCGGAACATTTTCGAAATTACAAAAATGTTTAAAAAATTTTAAAAAATACCTATTTTATCGGAGTTTTTCACTTATATCTTGGAACCTATGCATTTTGGAAGAATATTGAAGAGAAAAACAAGTTTTAGAATTGAATTCTGCACAAGATACTGTAAGTTAAAAATGTTTAAATTTATTACCAATGTTGCAAAATAGCAATAATTGATTAAAAAAGGCAAAATAATCAAGTTTTTTGGATAATTTTTTAAAAATATTTTAATTGCTCCCAGGGTATTCTAATTTTAGTAAAAAAAAACAGTAGAGTATAATAAAACAACACACCAAATTTCATTAAAATCGGTTCTATGGTTTTCGCAAAATAATTTTTTGAAAAAATTTTGTAAAAAATTTTCGAATTTTCAAAATGTTGCACAGCCTCAAATAAAGCATTTAGATACTTGAAAATTTTTTCACATATGAAAGACTGCTCAACCTTTCAAATAGTTTTTGAAAAATTGAAATCGGTTGATTAGGTCGGCCACAGTAAATTTTTAAAGTTAACACTCTTCTTTTTATTTTTAAACAATTAGATTACATTTATCAATTTGCAATTTAGTTTTTTCCAAAATTATAACTTTAAAGTAATCGGAAAGACGCTTCTTTAAAAAAAAATCCGTGTATTGGTTCCCGAGATATAAGCGGTCAAAGTTTATCGGCATTTACCGTTTATTTACAACAACAACAAACAATTTAGCAATAATCTTTGATCCACTGACTTCGTTTTTCCGAGTTCTAAGATGGAAAAAATTTTCATATCCATAAGTTATAGGCAACATAGATAAATCAGCGGAAAAGCTGTCGCTCGCTCGCGCGAAAAGTGACTCAAACACGAAAAGTGGTGGAGGGGGCTTTCGCTCCGAGACTGAATTCGGAGGTTCAAAATGCGAAGGTACGAAAAAAATTATCTCGGCTTCTAATGGACCAATTTTTGATCTTTTTTTTTAATCCGATGTCTCGCGAGCCAAGGTATTCGAATATGCACATATTTTGTTATAAACAAATTTATTGTTTATGCATTAAATATACTGTATATTTTATCCTATGCTATTGCATTTCAATGAAAAAATTTGTTTACGTATATATTTCAACATTCCGAATATGGATGTATTTAGATATAATTATTACAATTATTTGAGTAACTTTTGTTTAAACAAATTAAAACAAATTAAATTTTTTTATTTGGAAGTTATTTTTTTTTTGTTAAAATACATTAAGAAAAAATAGTACTTTAAAATTATAATTTTTGAAAAAAACTAAATTGCAAATTGATAAATGTAATCTAATTGTTTAAAAATAAAAAAAAGTGTTAACTTTAAAAATTTACTGTGGCCGTCCTAATCAATCAATTTCAAAATTTCATTTCAAAACCATTTGAAAGGTTGAGCGGTCCTTTCTATGTAAAAAAATTTTCAAGTATCTACATGATTTATTTGAGACTGTGCAACATTTTGAAAATTCGAAAATTTTTTTCAAACAATTATTTTGCGAAAACTAATGAAATTTAGTGTGTTGTATTATTATACTCTAAAGTTTATTTCACCAAAATTGAAATGCCCTCGGAGCAATTAAACAATTTTAAAAAAATTATTCAATATAATTGATTTTTTTGCCTTTTTTTGATCAATTATTGCTATTTTCCAACATCGGTAATAAATTTAAACATTTTTAACTTACAGTATATTGTGCAAAATTCAATTCTAATACTTTTTTCCTCTTCAATAATCTTCTAAAATGCATAGGTTCCAAGATATAAGTAAAAAACTCAAATAAAATAGGTATTTTTTAAACATTTTTGCAATTTTGAAAACGTTCCGGATCTCGCTCAGATCTAAGGATCTACACTTTTTCCACCTAAAAACAGATCCGTCCTGGTCTATAAACTGAACTTAATACGTTTATTCTTGTGCTTAGTTTTGTCCTGGATATCTTATTACTCGAAATACAAAAAAATTCTGTCAGAAACAAGGAGACCTTAAATTATCACAGTACGAAAATACGTTTCTTTACGAAAATATCATTCTGTGGATTAATCATGCCGCTTCCAATGACAATAATATAACATTTCAAAGGCTACGGAAAGCCCCAAAGGGCATCTCTTCGTCAACGCCTACAGAGTAAGTTAACGATGCCATCGGCTGACGCGGAGCCATCGTTTTTATTTAATTATCGATATTATACCTCGGAGAATAATAAAGTCCTTTATTTAATCCGGCCGTAAATTTATCCCGGCAGATGTTTTAAGTAAACGTTCGGGTTCTTGTGATTCCGATGTTTAGAATTCCTACCGAAATAGCTCGGGAGCGAAGCTAAACAAAATTGTAGTAAGATCGTTCCCTTCTGTTTCTGCGTGCCACAGCGGATCCAAAAAGTCTTTTTAATAATTTCCTTTTCCACATAAATCTACGGGCGAACCGAAATGCGTATGATGAAAACAGTCAACTTCTACAGATTTAAATTTGGAGGTACATAAAAACGATATATGTAAAAAATTTATATTTAATTTCGGTTGGCATTTCCAACAAGAAATATATCTTCCATTTTAATCGAAAATACAAAATATTTTTAAGTGTTTTAAGTTGAAAAATTAAATTTTTTAAAGAGTACCCTCAGAAAATTTAAAATTCCTAAACTACATTTTGCAGCCTTATATTTTTTTGTGACACAAACAAAATTGAAGTTATTTTTCATTTATTCAACTACGTTGTAAGCTTACTTTAAATTAAAAATGTAAAATTTGAACAATATAGTTTTTCTAATAAAATGAAAAACATCTTTTTTTTGTATTTCCAGTCGAAGTTAAATGCATTTATTTAATGTCCATAATATTCAGTGGGGTCGAAATTCTAGGGTTTTTAATGATGGGGTTGCCCGCAGTATCAATTATTTAGTTTACAAGTATCTTAAAAGACGTTTGGTAATTAAATGTGTTATTAATGTGATATAATTTTTAAATATCAACACCCTGTATGTATGTCGAAAATGAAGTGTAAAATCCAATATTAATGTTTGTCAGAGTATATCAAAGTGATTTACAAACGGTGACCAAAGATGAAACCTTCTTTGGTGAATTTTAAAGGGAGCCTTGAATAAAATTTGTATCTAGGACGATTTGTTAAAAAAATACAGTAAGCGAAATAATTTGAAATTGGGCATATTTGTATAAACATTGTGCAAAATCTGAGACGTTTTCTAAAATTTAGAAGCTCCAGTGGCGGAGGTACAGGGTATGGGCGGCATATTTTTTTAAATAAAATAGTACGCCACTGCTTCACGGCAACAATCATGATATTTTCGGATTTGTCTTTCAATTTTACACAAATTACTACCCTTACTATGTTTTTCAAGAAAAGACTGATTTTCGAGTAAAACTTAAAAAAACGAACTGAAAACACTACAAAAAGAATTCCAGTGGGTTGATGTTGGTGTTTTCAGTTCGTTTTTCAAGTTTTACTCGAAAATCAGGCTTTTTTAAAAAACATAAAAGGGTAATAATTTGTAGAAAATTACAAGACGAATCCGACAATATCAGGATTCTTACCGTAAAGCAGTGGCGTACTATTTTATTTAGAAAAATATGACACCGATACCCTGTATTTCCGCCACTGGAGCACCTAAATTTTAGAAAAAGGCCTCAGATTATGGACAATGTTTACATAAATACATCTGCCCAATTTCAAATTATTTCACTTACTAGTGTTTAAATTAAAAAAAAATTAAAATATTTTTTTAAGTTTAAGATACAGGGCTATCTTTTTAACGAAGCGTCCTATATAAAAACTTTATAGGAAAGACTCCCCTTAAAATTCACCAAAGAATACGAGGTTTCATTTATGGTCCCCGTTTGTGAATCACCCTGTATCTATATGTCTCAGAACTTAATTTATGGAACCCCGAAATTGACTCAACATAATTCGAAACGTTGGCATTTCTTGACCTTCCAATCTTTCATCTTTCTATCTTAATCCAAAATAAATTAGGTAGATACATAAAAAAATATGAGCTTACGCCTAAATTTATGAATCATTACTTTCTACCCTTTTTTTGTGACATTTTCTTGCGCGCCCCTGTAGTCCCTCCTATACGAAATTCAGATAAGCTTAATCGGTGTAATGCTGTTATCAGCTTATTCCGTAAAAATTCGGTAAAAAGTGGGTCACAGTTACAGGCCTAAATGGTCGGAAAAAATCTCTGACGTGTGTCGGCGAATATAAATTCGAAATTTCAGGGGAATTTCGTGTCGAAGCCAGAATTTCTCGTATACGCAAATAAACGTGTTCGTTGATGATAAAATCTCTCCGGGTTTTTGTCACAGTTTTAGTTTGTAAAATATACAGGGTGTTTCAGAAAGACCTCCCGTAAATTCAGGGGGTGATAGTACGACAAAAAATAACGAATTTTTTGTCTTATGAACTATATGTATATCTCCTCATTAGAAATTGGAGTCTGAAAAAACTAACCTCAAAAAAATTAGAACTTAAAATGTAATACAAATGTAGCATAACTAGCGCCCTCTATAAAATATACAAAAAATAATTAGACCAG